AAAAAAAAAAAAAAAAGACTCAAGAGATGCATTTTAGTTTTTGTTTTTTTGGTTTCTTTGGTTTTTTTTTTTTTTTTTTTAAGGATAAAGTTAGCTAGGCATGATAGTGCTTTAGTCCCAGGCAGAGGCAGGTGGATCCCTGAGTTTAAGACCACCCTGGTCTACAGAGTGAGTTCCAAGATAGCCAAGGCTACACAGAGAAACCCTGTGTCAAAAGAAAAGGGTGGGGCAATTTTTCTCCACTGGTAGACATACTCATCTCTTTGGAGGACCAAGAGAATAAAAATGTTCATGAAGGGTGGTAGAAGAGTTAAGTAATATGTGATGGGGGAGGTCCTTCTGTGTATATGATTGTCTTACTGGTTGGTAAATAAAATACTATTGGCCAATAGGAAAACAAGATAGGTGGTACTAGGAGTCAAGGAGGATTCTGGGAAAGGTAGGAGAAAGTTCAGAGTCACCATGTGAGCCTGGGAAGACAGCACACTTGCCACTGGCATCCAATAAGTCTTTTTTTTTTTTTAGTTATTTTAGATAAGTCTTATAAAATATATAGATTTATGATAATTAAGACTGAGCTATCGGGGCTGGAGAGATGGCTCAGAGGTTAAGAGCACTGACTGTTCTTCCAGAGGTACTGAGTTCAATTCCCAGCAACCACATGGTGGCTCACAGCCATCTGTTTTGAGATCTGGTTCCCTCTTCTGGTGTGCAGATATACATGGAAGCAGAATGTTGTATACATAATAAATAAATAAAATCTTAAAAAAAAAAAAGACTGAGCTAGCAGATGAGAAATCCTAGTCATTGGCCAAGCAGCATTTGTACCTAATATAAGTCTCTGCATGTTACTTGGGACCTTAACATGGCGGCAGGCGGAACTTGGGCAGCTTGGCGGAAAGATTTATTGTTACAAATATGTCACAAAGCTTAGCTGATTCAGGTCTGGGAAATTCCTGAGTCCAAGGTTTGCTTAAAAGGTATGGTTGATGGGAGAATCCCAGAACTTCTAAGGTTGGGGTAGGGGTGCTTCAAAAATCATTCAGCCTAATAATTTTAATTTTACTTAAATTTTTTTCCACTTATCTGTGTGTGAATGTGAGTGCACATGTGTTATGTATGTGCCCAGGAGCTAGAGAAGGAGTCAGATCTTCTGGAGCTGAACTCTTGTCCTTCGGGGCTAAACACGAAACATGCAGAACTGCTGGGCTTCTCTCATAATTTTTTTTTTTTTTTTTTTTTTTTGGCTTTTTTGAGACAGGGTTTCTCTGTGTAGCCCTGGCTGTCCTGGAACTCACTCAGTAGATCAGGCTGGCCTTGAACTCATGGAGATCCGCCTGCCTCTGCCTTCTGACTGCTGGGATTAAAGGCATGGGCCACTCTGGTCTCTCCAATTATTTATTTATTTATTTATTGTTTTTTTGTTTTGTTTTGTTTTTTTGGTTTTTCGAGACAGGGTTTCCCTGTGGCTTTGGAGGCTGTCCTGGAACTAGCTCTTGTAGACCAGGCTGGTCTCGAACTCACAGAGATCTACCTGCCTCTGTCTCCCGAGTGCTGGGACTAAAGGTGTGTGCCACCACTGCCCGGCTTCTCCAATAATTTTATAATGGACAAAAGCTGCCTTCCTGTGCAGGACTCAGATGTGAGCCAAGTGGCTCCAGGTCTCTGTTTCAGTCCTCGGTTGGTCATTTGGTCCCATGTGACTGATGCTTCATGAATTCTCTGTGCATTGTGAAATGTGTGTATAAAGTGTTGGGGAGGGGTATGAGGTACTTGGGAGATTATGAATATCGAAGCAGGACTATAGAAGAAGGGTTGTCTGCAAGGGAAGCCTCAGAGGAGGAAGGGCAGGTAGTCTGGGCCCTTTCCAGGACCGGGGCTAGAGGCTGTGTTAAGAAAGGTTGAGTCTTAGGGCAGGGGGAAGTTAGGATGGAGACTGGGGGATTTCATTCTGGTGGTGGTATGCAGGCTGCATCTGAGGTGTGATATTCTGAGAGAGAAGACAGTAGTGACACAGTTGCAGAGGGAAGGAGTGTGCCACAGTACTGGTTTCCACCCTTGGCTTTTTACAATCTCATTTCCTAGTGCTGTAGTTACACCCATACGCGGCTAGCAGCAGCCAGGAAGGGGGTGGGATGGTAGGTCTCAGCCTGATGATCAGCTTGAATTCAGATTCGACGGGATGTGTCCATTTGCACACACTGGGCAGCCTTCCAAAAGCCTGACCTCTAAACTACCTTGAGTAATTTCCACACAGTCTGTTTCCATCCTCCCTTACCCACCTGCACGCCTCGGCTGAAGAGAGTCCAGTCCACTTACCCAGGCAGTTCTAAGTACAAAGAGGCATGTTGACAGTACATTATGAACAAGAAACCAGTGGCACCAACTACCCAGCACTCTGTCCTATCAGCCCGGGGTTGAAATCCTCCGATCTAGACACACGGAACAGGAACTGTGCGCACAGCTACTTTTATAAAACGGCTCAGCTGCAGCCTTCCAGTGCAAGGCGAGCTGGCACTCTCCAGCCACCCTCAGAACAGCCTGGTGGTGTTCCCACCAGCTGCAAGCTATGACAAAGGAGCAGGCCTGAGGGAAGATTACCCAAGGTCAGGCCTTTGTCCTTGTGCCTTTATCCTTGTGGCTGGCATGTTTGCACCAGAATAAAAATTCAGGCAGACCCCTTTACTTTCTTTTTTTAAATACTTCTATAATATTCTATTTATAATTGTTCTCATCTACAGGCTTGTTAATCTTTATCTTTTTTGGAGTAACTATTTAATACATGTATAACACAGGGCTATTACCATACTAGTAACATATAATTTTTTTTGTGTTGGAAACATTCAAACTCCTAATAGTTTTTTAAAATATTTTTTTATGTTTATGAGTGTTTTGCCTGTATGTTCGTAGTATACCACACGTGACCTGGTGCCCTTGGAAGTCAGAAGAAGGCATCTCTTGGATCCTCTGAAACTGGAACTACAGATGGTTGTTAGCTGCCAAATGGGTGCTGGGAATCAAAACTTTGCCTTCTAGAAAATCAGCCTAGTGTTTTTAACCACTGAGTCATCTCTCCAGCCCCATAACTTTTTTTTTTTGACAGAATTTTTATGTAGCCCAGGCTAGCCTCTAAATGTGTTACTGAGGATGACCTTGAGCTTCTGATCCTCTTGCCTCCATCTCCGAGTGCTGGGGTTACAGGTGTTTGCTGCCAGGTTTATGTTTATTCATTGCTGAGATCAAACCCTGGGCTTTGTGTATGCTAGGCCAGCACTTCACCAGCTGAGCCACAACCTAGCCTGGCACATGCTATTTTGAAATAGTCAACTAATTGTTGTCAAACATTGTCATTCTCCTCATATCCAAATGCACCTCTGAAGTTCTGGCCTTTTTAGTTCCCTTTGACCTGAATACAACCTCCACTCAGTGGTTAAAGTGTATGATCACGAAGATTCCAAAGATGACCTAAAATTGAGGCTTCTCCCCTGTCATAAGCTCTGGCCACTACCTAGAAGAGGTGACACTAAAAAAAATATTATTATTTTAGTTATGTGTATTGTGTGTGTAAGTATTGCACATGATTGCGGGAGCCCACAAAGGAGTTAGATTCCCCTGAAGTTGGAATTACTGGCAGTTGTAAGCCACCTGACATGGTTGCTAGAAGAGCAGCCAATGTTGGTTTTTTTTTTTTTTTTTTTTGGTTTTTTTCGAGACAGGGTTTCTCTGTGTAGCCCTGGCTGTCCTGGAACTCACTCTGTAGATCAGGCTGGCCTCAAACTCACTGCCTGGCTCTGCCTCCTGAGTGCTGGTACTAAAGGCTTTTGCTACCACTACCTGGTGAGATTGAGCTCTTAAAAAAATATGAGGCTGGAGTGATAATTAAGAGCCCTGACTGTGCCAGGTGGTGGTGGCACATGCCTTTAATACCAGTACTCAAGAGGTAGAGGCAGGTGGATCTCTAAGAGTTTCAGGACAGCCAGGGCAACACACACACAAAACAAAACAAAAAACAAACAAAAAAACCAAAAACAAAAACTTCTCAAAAAACAAACAAAAAGCAGTGACTGCTCTTCTAGAGGACCTGGGTTCATCCCCCAACATCCACACAACCATCAGTCATTCCAGTTTCAGGGGGTCTGATACCTTCTATTAGCACCAGGCTTACATTTGGTGCACAGACATACATGAAAGCAAAACACTCACATACATATAAATAAGTCTTAAGTATATATTTACTTAATATTTTTAAAAGATGTGTATTTATTTATTTACACAGTGTTCTGCCTGCATGTATGCCTGCATTCCAGAAGTGGGCACCAGATCTCATTATAGATGGTTTTGAGCCATCATGTGGGTGCTTGAACTCAGGATGTCTGGAAGGCCTCTGAGCTACCTCTCCAGCCCTACTTAGTATTTTTTGTTTGTTTGTTTGTTTGTTTGTTTTCTGGTTTTTCAAGACAAGGTTTCTCTGTATTCCTTTGGAGGCTGTCCTGGAACTCACTCTGTAGACCAGGCTGGCCTCGAACTCACAGTGATCCACCTGCCTCTGCCTCCTGAGTGCTGGGATTAAAGGCTTGAGCCACCTACGCCTAACTTCCTAATTATTTTTATAGGACTGTGAACCTGTGTGAGTTTATATGCACCACATGTGTGCAAGAGACCAGAAGAGGGCACCAAATCCCCTGGAAATTAGTGGTAAAGGTGGTTGTGAATCACCATATAGGTGCTGGGAACTGAATTCAGATCCTCTGCAGATTAGTAAATGCTTTGAACCTGAGCTATCTGGGATCATCAAGTTGTCAGTAAGTGCTTTTACCTGCCAGCTATCTCTATGGCCCTTTTCTTTCTTTTTTTTTTAAATATTAATTTATTATATAGTATCCTGTCTGCATGTATGCCTGCAGGCCAGAAGAAGGCATCAGATCTCATTATAGATGGTTGTGAGCCACCATGTGGTTGCTGGGAATTGAACTCAGGACCTCTGGAAGACCAGCCAGTGTTCTTAACCACTGAGCCATCTCTCCATCCCCTTCTATGACCCCTTTCTACTTCTCAGGCTGTGGTTCTTGATCCTTGCAGTGTTGCAGTGGGAGGAAGCAGGTAGATTTCCACTGGCTTGTTCTTGGCATGGGGATCTGGCATTGATGTTTCCTTTGCTTGGCAGGTATTTACTGCTGACACTTCTGTGGGTGCTTTATGTTCTCTCATTGCTGGGACCTCTCAGTTGAGGCGAACATCATTGTTGGGTTCATTTCTTATTTCTTCATCCCTAGGATTCTGGCCATCTCTTTAATTCTGTTGGCTGAAGTTGTTGTCCCTCCAAGCTTCTCTCTCGGGTAAGACCTGCAGCCATGCCAGGTGTTAGGGTTTGAATATGATTTTCTTTTCTGAGACAGTCTCGTGTAGCCCAGGCTGGCCTTGTGCTCTCTATATAGTTGAGGATGATCTTGAACTCTTGGTGCTCCTGGTTCAACCTCCCCAGTGCCGGGATCACAGGTGTGCACCATCATGCCGGGTTTGTGTGGTGTTGAGGATTGAAGCCGAGGCTTTGTGCATAGTGTTTAAGCACTTTACCAGATGGTGGGCTTCTGGGAAGTGATTGGAGCACGAGAGCTCTGACCTATTCAGGGTCTGATACCTTTGGTGTGTTCAAAATGTGATGTCATTACCGGGAGGTTGTGAGAGGTAGGTGATGCCTACCTGGGTGTATGCTAGGAAAATGCGTCTTGCTCCCTGTCCTTTCCTCTGTCTCTTTCTCATCTGCCATTAGGTGAGCTGGGTACTCCACCAGGTGTTCCCCACCGTGATACTTAGCCTCATCTCAGGCCCACAGCAATGAAACCAGCCAGGCACAGACTGAAATCTGTGGCAGTTTAAATAAATAAGTCCTTCTTGTTGTTTTGCTCAGGTTTTTTTGTCAGAATAATGAAAACCTGGCTACCACACCAGGTCAACCTCCTCTGTCACCCAGAGTGCCCACCTTTGCTCCAAAGTCTGGTCTACCCCTCACTGTTTCAGTTCTCATCTAGTGTCTGGGGACATGGCTGAGTTGGTAGACTATTTGCTTAGCATATCCAAAGAGCGCTATAAAACCCAGGTGTGGTACATGCTTGTAATCCCAGGACTAAGGAGGTAGAGGCAGGAGGATCAAAAATTCAGGTCAGGCCGGGGATGGTAGAATACTACTTGGAAGAAGTAGGCAGGTCTATGTAAGTTTGAAGCCAACCCGGTCTACATATGGAATTCTAGGCTAGCCAGGGCTACATAGTGAGTCCCTGTCTCAGAAAAAAAAAGTTCCAGTCATCCTCCAGTGGAGGCAGGGTGGAATGCATGATTCTGTCCCCCCCCCTTTTTTTAATCCCCATCTAGAAACTTCCAATTTTTTTTGTTTCTTATATATGTCCTGACAATTGTGTAAATCCTGCTACTCTACCACTGTACTTTGGAGTTTAGTATCTATTTGTTACTCAGCTAAAATATCTATTTTAACATTTAATTACATGCGATTGATGACACATCTTGAACTGAAGCACCCTACCGTCTATCATTTGGGTTTGTTCCCCAGTCCAGGCCTTATATGGAAAGGAAGCTAATTAGAAAGAGTGGAGAGCCTTCCTTTCAGTAAAGATCTAAAAGCCCTGGAGCATCCCTGGATGGTACCCAACCCTGGTGGAAGGGAGGGGGCCATGCATTCCCAGGTCCTCAGGATAAGCCAGGGGATGGTGTGAGAAGGTGGAGCGTAGCAAGGGCTCTCTTAAGTGCAGATGGAGACATTGCTGGGGACTTACCTAGGAAGAGCTGAGTGATGAACAGTTTAAAAACTTGGGCCATGTAGAACCTGAGAATATCATTTAGTCCCTCCAGAGCCTTGGTTTCCCCATGTGTAGGTTGAGAATGATCTTTCTCTTCCAGATGACATCTTGTTGTGGAAGGCTTCCTGAGGGATAGGTGACAAGTGTCAGGAATAGGCACTGGTAGCTGGATTCCATTTTGTCTGTCTTTCAGACTGTGATTACCCTGAAGTCAAGAACCCATGCTCTCCAGGGTGGTGGTCGTGTGTGCTTCTAATTCCAGCACTCGGGAGGCAGAGGCAGGCAGATCTCTGTGAGTTCCTGGCCAGCCTGGTCTACAAGAGCTAGTTCCAGGACAGGCTCCAAAGCCACAGAGAAACCCTGTCTAGGGGAGTGGGGGGAGAACTTCCTGCTCTCCGTGTGTGCATAGGTTCCTGGATGAGATTGTGGTGTTGTTGGAGTGAGTGTGTCTGTTTGGAATGTCAGTGGGTGTGGATTTGCTCTGCAGAGGGGCATGTTTAACTCTCACATGCCCTCCTCCATCAGGCCCAGGCTGAAATAAGTGAGTCAGGGGCCTGTGCTACCTCCGTCCCACCATATTACTCCAGAACGGAGCCAGAATCAGTTCTTTGTGATTATTTAGCTTCTTTCTTTCTTTCTTTCTTTCTTTCTTTCTTTCTTTCTCTCTCTCTCTCTCTCTCTCTCTCTCTCTCTCTCTCTCTCTCTCTCTCCCTTCCTTCCTTCCTTCCTTCCTTTCTTTTTGGTTTGTTTGTTTGTTTGTTTTTGTTTTTCAAGACAGGGTTTCTCTGTGGCTTTGGAGGCTATCCTGGAACTCTCAGTAGACCAGGCTGGCCTCGAACTCACAGAGATCCTCCTGCCTCTGCTTCCTGAGTGCTGGGATTAAAGGCATGTGCCACCCGGCATTATTTAGGTTCTTTTTCCAAGATTTTTTATTTTTTGAAACATTGAGCCCAATTCCTTTTGCTCCTGGTTTTACTGTGACTCAAATTCCTATCCCTGAGATGTCTTGCTTTCCCCCAAGTTCTCTCAACCACATCTTTCTTCATCTGACTGCCTCTGGGTTTTCCGCTTGCCCCATGAACTGTATTCAGTTGCTCAGACAGGGGTGGGGAGAAAGCGTGGGCTAGGAAACCCCAGCAACCTTGAGTTAATGCTCGGGAGCCTTTAGCTTGGTGATTACTACAATTGTTGCTTAGTGGAAAAGAGCGCCATTAACTGGGCTCTCAGCCTCCTATTAGTATTACCCTGTAATTTAGTGACAATTAGATTCCCAGAAACCTAGACATAGGAAACAAGTGTGCAAAGGAGGCAGATGGTAGAAAGCAACAGTAGTCAGAGGGTTTTAATTAAAGGCATTGCTTCCAGAAGGTACAAGGCCAAGGGTGAGTGGGGCTGGAGCTTGGAGCAAGGTAAGCATGCAAAAGTCTAAAGGAACTTTATTTATTGGCTTTGAGGTTAGGGGCTGCCACGTTGATGCCATGAACTGGGCCAGGACTGATGGAAAGCAGTGGAATTGAAAGGCCTTGTGAGATCCCCCCATCTGCTCTGCTTCATCTCTTTGGGGTCTATGGGAAAGAAGCTGGCTTCCCAGAGTGCTTCATCTAGATTTCTCCCTGGGGGAGCAATGTTGGAGCCTATATCCTTCCCACTCTAAGCTCTCTGACACCATAGAAGGCTCAGGTCTGGAAATGACCATTCTCAATGGCCAGGTATGTATCTGGGGAATGGAGATGAGGGAAGTGTATGTAGCTAGGCTATGCTATGGCTTGGATGTGGTTTCTGACTCCTGAGATTTGTGTGTTCAGAACTTGATCTGAGTGCAGTCGCATTGAGATGCAGTGGGGCCTTTAGGAGGCACAGCCTAGTGAAAGTCCTTCTGCCCCCCCCCCCAGCTCTCTCTGGCTTCCTATCTGCTGTGTAATCGCTCTGTCTTGCACACGCTCCTGATACTGCACCACATGTCATCCACCATGAGGCCTTCACTGGAGCCAGGCTGAGTCTAGCACCATGACCTTGCATCTCCAGAAGCCCTTTTCTTCATCAAGTATATAGTCTTTGGCATTCTGTTATAGTAATAGGAAACTAATCCACCCTGAAAGGAGGAGAAATTGTGAAGAATTGTGTGAATAGAGAAGACTGGAGAAGGCTGCTTATAGATCTTTTCATAGAACTATTTTTCTGTTCAAGCTCCTGAATTTCATCCGTGTCAAATCCCAGAGTTTGAGGTCCCAAAGGTAATTATTACATCACTCTCTTTCATGAAACTGATCCAGGAAGAAAAGAGCCGGTTGTGAAATTTCAGTCCAGCCCAGTCTCTCTTGGGCTGGCTACAACAGTAGCCACCCTTGGCTACAGCCAAGCTGCTAAGTGTACTGGGTAAATGTTGTGTGTGAGGGGTTGTGTTGTATGTGCTGGGGACTGAGGTAGGAGTGGCCTCAGGCCAGGGAAGAATGATCTGCCAGCTCAGGCAGATATGAGAAACATTTTGTAGGGTTCCCACTTCTCTTCCCCCTCTACTTCTACCTCTCAGGGTCCCGTCCTTCTAAAAAACTTAAACCCACAAAAGTATTGAGTAGTGAAATACCTTCAGGGGGTATTAGAAGATTCCAGTATTTCAGGGAGTTGGAGAAACCCAAGACTTTCTCCCCAAGTTAGAGGGCAGAACCTGGATGCATAGGGGAGAGGGTTCCCCTTTCTTCTGACTTTCTTGGCATCGAATTCTCCACTTCTCAAGGTAACCAAGTGACCACAAACTGGGGACTTTCCAGGATGGTTTCAGTTTTAAGCCATTTTAGCCTATTGTCCTCTGGAGTACTTATAAGGCCGAAAGTCCTGATTTTGTTATGGAAAAAAACATAAGTACAATCCGATCTTAGAGCATTTCCTGTCTGGCTGAGACTACAGAGATCTGGACCTTCTCTGGCACCTCAGCTCTGTGGCATTTGGAGGAGTTGCCGGAGCCCCACCTAAGAAGTTTTAGCTTGCAGGTGGGAGAGAAAGGATGGGTGATTGATTCCCTGGTAGCAGCTTAATTCTGAAGATTCCAAAACGTACAAAAACTCTCCCTTACAATGGACTGGCTCAGACTGCCACCTCCACAATTCTGCCTCAATGGCTTTAGAGAGTGCCTCCAGCTCTTGAGATTTCTTTCTCACAATAACAGTAAAAGTGCCTTCAGTAGAGAACAGTCTTTATTAGTGTGTTTGTGACAGGGTTTCTGTGTAGCCCTGGCTGCTCTGGAACTAGCTCTGGAGATCAGGCTGGCCTCTGAAAGATAGACTTGTGTCTGCCTCCCAAGTGCTGGGTATTAGGTTTCAAACCTGGCATAAAATGACTGAGGTGCTTATTTAACATAGCAAAGCAGAAGCTGGCCTCCAGGATCTCCCTTAAACACTCAGTCCCTACCTGTTACCTGTTACGGGTCCTCCCGGCTGGCATACCCCGCCCCCTACTCTGCCCTTACTGTAAATGCCCTTCCCTATATAATCTAACCATTTTGGTTACCTGCCCCCTTTGTCTACTCTCTTTGGGGCCTCCTGGCTGCTGCACCTGGTTCTTCCCTCTTTCCTTTCTCCTCACTGTCCAAGCCCCCCCCACACACACACATAGCTTAGGAACATGTCCACTCTGGACTCTCCCAGACGTCCTTGCCTCTGGCTATGCTCTCCTATACACCTATAATACTCCTTCATACCTAGGATCAGTCTTTGTTTTTCTAGTTTCTCAGTAGCTATGGAGCCAGTCATGGAACTCTCTGTGTAGACTAGGCTGGCCTTGAACTCACAGAGATCTGCTTGTCTCTACCTTCTGGAAGTAAAGGTGTGTGTCACCACCTTGCCCGGCCTGGTTTGGATAAGTATTTTGTGAAGATTGTTTTCTATCTGCTTGTGCATATGTGGGTTCTCTATCACTAGGTACCATAAGTTGTATTTCAAAGGTCACAGATTAAAATGTTTGAGACCATTCTGATGGGACAGGTCACACAGTCACATAGAAACTGAGATAGAACTAAGGCATGTGGCCGGCCAGATGGCTCAATGAATAAAGGTGCTTGCTACAAGAAGACTGATGACCAATCAATCCCTAGGACCCCCATAAAGTGAAAGGAGAGAACCAATTCCTATAAATTGTCCTCTGATCTCCATACATGTACGGTGGCATGTTGTATCCTCATAAACAAATAAATGTTAAAAAATTAAACATCTGTGAGGTGCAGTCTGCTGAGTACCCTTGGGAGATGAGCCTGGCCTGAGCCGGTGAGAGAGTACAGAAAGGGGAAGGGAAGGGTCTATATGTGTGCAGAGTCAAGTCACCTGTCCCTTCTGCACAGACAGCCACCACCCATGGTCCCCTCTGCACAGACAGCCCTGCACCACTCTTCCATTGTATTAAATGTGTTATCTCAGCCTCACCACACCCATTAGAAAAGCAGTGGTTTTTATTGTCCCTGTTTTATAGATGAGGAAGCTGAAGTTCACTTGCCTGCAGTCACCTTGCAGACAAAACTTGGCCTAGAATCCCAGGATACCCATCTCCGGCCCTTGCCTTTAAGTCAGCAGACAGCTCTCTCTTTGAATATGAAAGGTGTTTGGGGTTGGCCCAGAATCGTGGTCAAGGTTGGCCAACCCCAGGATCCTGCCTGAGAATACAGGGCAGGCAAGGCTAGAAGTGGAGGAGCCCAGGTTTTGCAGCCCAGGGATGGGGACTGGTGGCTGCGAGGGTGGCAGCCTTTCCCCAGCCCTGCTCCTGCTCACTGTCTGCTCTGCCATCGCAGAATATGCTGCTAATTATAACCAAACACAATGAGCAATCAGAGCCTGCTGGCGGTGGAGCTCTGCTTAAAGGTCTGGCAGGCTTTTCATTAGAACCTCCCAGTAGCCTAGAGGCTTCGGGAGGCACTACTCCTTCCCTCCCTCCCCTACTCACCCTGCCCCTTTTTTTTCTCCCCCTCCTCTCTCCTCCCTCTCCCCAAATGCAGTCAGTACAGGATTTAGCTCCCTTCTGTGCCCGGTTCAGTGCCACGGATGGAATGGGAGCCAGGACTTTGTTCTTGCTTTGAGTGAGCTAATCATCTTCCCAGCAGTCTCTTGATGAGAATAAAAAGGTCTGGCCTAAAGGAGCCATGGGTCAGGAGAGTTTTCAACATCCTGTGTCCTTGGCTGCTCTTCTGAGGCCCTTCTTGGGCATCTGTGAACATTTATTCCAGTACAAATGTGCTCGCTCTGGTGGTGCTGGGTCCTCGGGATATGCCAGGGAGGGGAATCCGTCCCAAATCTTGGGGGACATAAACCGAGTCAATAAATATATGCATGAAGTCATTATAGGCTTTGGAACATTTCTCAAATGTTTATTTTGAGGACTCAGGGAACTGGAAAGGATGCAAGAGGAAAGACATCCCGAGATCCCAGATCATCTTTCTCGGGCTGTTTCTGGGGCAAACCCATGGGCAGGCTGGTTCTTGGTCCAACTTCAAAGTGATAAGGTTTCCTTCTGGCCCCTATATCCTGTTGCCCTTCCTGACACCTAAAGTCTTGCAGGTACCAGCAGGGACTCTCTCTTGTGTCCCTGATGGAGCGTTGTTATGGTATTAGTCATTTCTCTTGTTACTCAGACAAAATGCTGAGAGAAGCAACTTAAGGGAGGGAGATAGATGAATGGGAGCCTCTCATCTCTTGGCCAATCAGGAAAGCAGAGAGCTCAGGCAGGAACCAGGGATGGACATCTCCCTCAGGGACCACCCTAGTGACTCACTTCTATTAGTCCCCATGCATCAAAGGCTTTACAACTTCCCTAGACAGAGCTACCAGCACGGTACCACATGTTCACTCACAGGAGATCGTAGGAGATACTTCAGATTCAAGCCACAGCACCTGCTGTTGCCCAAGACCCATTAAGGCTTTAGTTGGAAATTCATCAAGACATCATTCCTCAGGGTAGCAGCATGGACTGAGGGATGGTTGGGGCCTATTGGTTGAGGGTTCTCCAAAGCGTCCATGGCACAATGCCAACCCAGAGCCGCACACCAGTGACACAGACTGTGGAAAGGTTGAAGGAGGGGCTGGAGCCTCCTGTAAGGACATCTGGTCCCAATCTGCCCTTTCCAGGAGGTAATACTTCCAGTTTTAAAACCAGACAAATTATTGCAGTTGTAGGCTAAATAGGTAGGGAAGAGGAATGGTGGGGGTGGTGTGTGTGTGTGTGTGTGTGTGTGTGTGTGTGTGTGTGTGTGGTATGTGGTGGTTACTAGGAATATGATAACATAAGACATAGATGAGATTAATACAGGAAAATTTTGTTCTGTTTTGTTTGTTCTTTTGAGACAGGGTTCCTTGGTGTAGGCTTGGCTGTCCTGGAACTCACTCGGTTGACCAAGCTGGCCTCGAAGTCAGAGATCTGCCTGCCTCTGCCTAAGTGCTGGGATTAAAGGTGTGAGCCACCACCACTGGCAGAAAGCAATTTCCTTTGCTTTCATTCAGACAGGGTCTTCCTGGGTGCCCTAGCCTGGCTTGTGACCTCCTGGGCTCTGGCCTCCAGGGTGTTGATATTACAGGAATGCATCACCATGTGAGAAGGCAATTAAAGGCTTATAGTCTTGAAGTGGCTAAATAGTAGAGGATGACCTTGAACTGTTTCTCTTGACTCTTCCTCTCAAGTGGTTGGCTACCAGACTTACTTCATCATGATAAATTTTTAGGGCTGCTATGGATTGAACCCAGGGTTTCATACAAGCTAATCAAGTAGTCCACCATCTACCAGCTGAGCTACTACAATTTATCCCCAAGCCAAATGGCTTTATTTATTTATTTATTTATTTATTTATTAGACAGTGTCTCAATATATAGCTCTGGCTGTCCTGGAACCTTCTATGAAGACCAGACTGGCTGTGAACTCACAGATATTTGCCTGTCTCTGCCTCTCTAGTAATGGGATTCAAACGTGTCTAACCATACTTGGTCCACACACAGAGACTTTTAAAAAATGAAAACATAGATATGGTCACTGTCTTAGGATTTCTTTTTTTGTTTTTTATTTATTTTTTTGTTTTGTTTCCGTTTGGTTTTTTGAGACTGGGTTTCTCTGTGGCTTTGGAGGCTGTCCTGGAACTAGCTCTTATAGACCAGGCTGGTCTCCAACTCACAGAGATCCTCCTGCCTCTGCCTCCCGAATGCTGGCTTTAAAGGCATGAGCCGCCACCACCCTGCCGGTCTTAAGCTTTCTATTGCTGTGAAGAGAT